GTTTTGCTCACCTCCACACCAGTCTGGTTTCTTTACGTCGCACTCACTCTGTTTGCCTCATCTCCTTCTTCACCTCCCAGCCGATGTCGGGTTTCCAGGAGAGCAGGAGAGGGAGGGACGGAAGAGCTCGACTGAATTCATAATTTTACATCTTGAATTTAGCTGTACAAAGTCTGAGTTTGATAAAGTGAAGAACAACAATTTGCAGAGGTTTATAACTGGCGCGGCGCCAGGTTTTCATTTTTGGGTGGGCCACGGTAATTTTGGACGGACCTTAATAAGCAGTGACTTAGTGAAGCAGGCAGGTCGCACTAGAAAATTTAGTTTAAAAAGACGTCATAAATGTTTTCCCCAGTCATTTTTATTTCTAAAATATGAAGTAAAAACTCACAATTTAATTTTTATTCATTTGTCCTTAATATTTAGTCTACAACCGTGCGTTAAGTGGACCAACTTCCAGTAAACGCAAAGCATCCAGTCCACCTCTCCAAATGCGTAAAATGTGCATCAGCCGCTAGGCGTGCCGCGCGCACCGTCAGCTGATCAGCCCAGACAAAAGCAGAGCAAATAGAGAAAGAATAGAGGATGATTGTGTCTGGATGTGGATGGAGATTACATTTTACAGCAGCCTGATCATCATTTAAATACGTAAACCATCACCTGTCTTCTAGTCCACGCTATCAGCATTATTTTAATTGGTGTGTGTGTGTGTGTGTGTGTGTGTGTGTGTGTGTGTGTGTGTGTGTGTGTGTGTGTGTGTGTGTGTGTTTTCCACTTCAAACACTGGTCTAACCAACCAGACCAGCGTGTCCAGTAACACATTAATGTTACAATTAAACTTGATTAACCCCAGAGCCGTGCGCACTGCACTGTACTGACTGTAAATGAGGGGGAAACTATTTAATCGGATCCTTTTCTCTTCAACATGGTTTAATGTAAAGTTTCATTCAGTACAAACTTTAGTTACACCAATCTAACGAGACAGAGCCTGGATTTGTATTCTGAACAGTTTAAACATGTTTGAAACGGAGACGTGTGTGACGCGTCTAAAATTCGCACCTGCTCCGCTATTACAGAAATTAAACTAACAAGATGAATAACATGAAATTATTTTAGGCACAGACAACATCCCCCACACTTTTGAAAAGCTTGCAACGCGCCTGATCGCTCATGTACGTCTTAATTATCTTTCATTAGACGATAATCAATAAAACAATTTATATAAAATGGATCCAGAAGTTGTAGCCCGTCTCTGCCTTCAATTTTTGGTATTTTTCACCCTGTTGATGGTTTTACGGAGCAGGTGCCACTTTTGTCCTACGTTTCTTTTTAAAACATGTTTAGACTGTTCAGAATACAAATCCAGGCTCTGTCACGTTTGATTGTTGTAATTAAACTTTGTAGGTGGGGAAGGTCAGAAAGCAGCTCAGAAGCGCCGATATGATTACGCACAAGCGTGACGCGTTAACCCGGTCTCACAGTAAGACCGGGTTGGAACTGTTCAGGTTTACGCAGACAATCTTTACATTTAGAATTAGCTTACAGATGTAAAATTAATGCAGTAAAATATAAAGCTTTTTATTTAAATATCCATTCATTATTTCACAAGCACAGAGAGCCGCATCAGAAGGATGGAAGAGCCGCGGGTTGCCGACCCCTGGTATAGCCTACTTTATTGTCCCCAGCAATTTTTAAACCCCACTCAAGTGTATGGTTATTGTCCCCAGCAATTCTGAAAACAAACTGACGCCCTTGACCACATGGCCATATTTTTGGTGGTTCTGTCCTCCTGAAAGAAGGATTTGATGTTTGCTGAACTTACAGCCATTTTCCCGCTGTTTTACTCTGTGTACGGATGGTGACGTCACTTTGGTGAAGTGCATTTGTAGTTCTGGACTTATTTTCACACAAATCCTAAAATTACTTTTCTCCCTGTTCGAAAATAAGCTCTTTCTTGGTACCAAAATGTGTCTTTAAAATTCACTGACATCATATGTGAAATCCTTGGTAAATAGCAAGCGGAATTAGAAAATAGCATCTTTAGCCCCATTGACTTTCATTCAATTTTTTGTTCTTCCAAGGACCCATGGTCTGGAAGTAGATGGGTATGACTTAGACTCCCTATAGCAACACAAGCAGAAAACAGAGGCTGGTGGGAATGAAGTAGACAGAATTGAAACAGGTTATGCACACTGGCTGTTGGAATGAACAACAACAATGCTGCAGCACAGCTTTTTGGTACATACTGTCTTGTTTTATGGTGTTACGTGTGTTGCTTTGTGACAATGGTCTTGTCATAAGACCCTTTTCACGGTCTCGTCACTTGCAGAAATAGGCTTGAAATTTTGTTTCCAAATGGGAGGTTCCCACCACCACCCTTTTGACTGTGTCACACATCTCATCTTGCCCAGACAATCCAAAAATGGGAAAAGAGGTGGAGGGTGGGGCTGTTACGGTTGGAACAAATGAACCGGTGTAGCTACTAGCTAACTTCGCTAACCCAAGAAGCTAAGACGGGGCTTCGGGGACTGGGGTAGCCCACCCGCTTGGCCGCCTGGTTTCAGTGCGAGGCTGTAGTCATGCTGGTCGCCTGTGGAGATCTAATTTTTGATTGGGACTGTTAATTACATGCAGAGCCTTAGACTGGTGCGATCGTAGCCAGGTGCCAAGGCCTTTTACATCAGCTCATGCTCCATGGTCGGAGATCAGTGGGACAATAGCTACATGCCAACCCAAAACTAACTGAGTTTTTTCAGGCATTTTTAGCAAGAAAAATGCAGTCGGGTGACTCCAAAGTGAAGGCACCTTCAGCCTGCTTTACTGTAAGCTGACCGAGGATATTGGGCTTCGCTGGTGCACCATGGTCAAAGATCCGCGAGAATTGGAAGAATTGACTCATCTCCCGTCTCTGTAAACACATAGAATTTTCCCTGATTCAACCAGCAAATTATTAGCAATAAAAATGCGGTTGAGCTACTCAAAAGTGAAGAAGTGTCAACTAAAATAGCTGTGGTGTTTCTGTGGTCTCCCTCAGAGATCCACAAGTGACCAGCATGACTACAGCCTTGCATCGGAGCCGGTCCACGCGTCCCGGCTGCCCCAGGAAACGGGACTCTAGCAACTGTTCCTGGACAGGAGACAGGAGAAGCTGGGCACCCGCTTAAGTTTCTTATGCAGCCCCACTAACACGCTTCACCAAGCAGTTAACTCATTCACTGCCAGCCGTTTCCTGATCAGAAAAGCCCTTCGCTGCCAGTGTTTTTCTGCGTTTTTACTGTTTTATTTAAGAGCCGCAGAACATTGCACACTAAGATGATGTCAACGCCAAAACTAACAAAACAAAGAGGAGAGTCACCTCTTACATTAGGAAGACTTAAGTCATCATTGGCAGTGAACGGTTGGATTTAAAATGACGACTTTTGTCGTCAATGGCAGTGAATGAGTTAAATGACACAGCATCCCCCCATTCAACCAGCAAAATAAAGTACAGAAATATAGTTTTACTTACTGATAAAAGGGAAGCAGAAACTGCTTGGATGATATATTAGTAACTACAGTGTGCTCTCTGTGTCCAAATAATTCCACAATTGACATCCACACACAAACACAACTAAAGTTCAGAGTTCAGAACATCTATTAACGTGAGGCCCAGGCTGAGGCCTTTCCCTGGAGCTAGCTCTGAAGTCACGTGGCTCTGATGCTCATTAATTATTGAGAATTTGAAGCATTTAAATACACTTAAACAGAAGAGTTGCAAAATACCCCCCCCCCCCCCCCCCCAGTTGTCCTGAATGTAAACTAGATCTATTAAAATGTTTTTTGAACCAAGATGTTAACATGTTTATTTCTGCTGTGAAATTAGCATTTTTCACATGGGAGTCAATGAGGATTTGCTCACTTCAGGTACCAGCCCCTAGCAGATGAGGGTGGAACTGCAGTCTTTAGCCACAGGTCTGAGAGGCTGGGGTTCCCCTTGCTGTAAACGCACTGACTGTGGTACACCTCAAAACCAGAACCGGTCCATGCCTAAAGGAATGAACTGTGTTTAAGGTGGGATGTGGGTGCTCAGAACTACGTGGAGATGCACTGATTGATGCTTTCCTTGTTATTCCAAAAGTTGATTCCCTTTAGCCTCGTAGGATTCCCAGATTTAAACATACAGTGTTTCAGTGAACCTCATATAGGTAAATGGGACTGAAACAGGCTGATCAGTGCATCTCTCCTTCATAATAATAATATTAAAATCTGCTTTTTTGAATCTAAATCAACTGAATGGATCATAAATGTGTTTTTTAAGCATTTGACTCTGAAGGTTGTCCTGTAAGGGAGTCCAAAGGCAGACCGTTGGTTTCCTTTTGGCTCTCTGAAGCATTTGGCGGGGTGATGCTGGAGGTTCTGGGGTTTGAGGGGGAAGCTGCAATCCTCTGACAAGTTCCAGGTGTAACTTGAATACTGACCTGTGGTGGCTGTCTCATCAGGACTCCAACAAGATAACCGTGAGAAAACTGGGGCAGCTGGTAAGATGTAGGACATCCAGACCACTTTAAAATAAAGTCTGCTGGTTTTATTTGATGTGATATGTTATTGGTGTTTACGTACTGCTGCCTCCACAGGTGTTGGCCGTGGTTCTGTTTATTTGTATTGTTACATTTCATATTGTTGTCATTTTATTTTCAAAGGTCTTCTAAAACGAGGCTGTCTGATTAATCCCAGAGTTTGAGACATAGGAGGAAATTAATTGTCATAAAAACTGTTATTGTTTTAAAAAATGTATTAAAGTAGTTGTGTTTACTCACAACATCCACATTGATAATAAAACAAATAGTTTTGTTTATTACAGTAATAATGCAGTGGATATCGTTTGTTTTTACTGTGCAGTTGGGTTTTGTTTTACCATGTTATGATGCGATTTACATAAATACCAACTCTGTTTCACCAGGTTTCGGTGAATCAGAACTGTTTTCCCATTACATAAAAATGAAACATCTTTTTGTTTTCAGCTCAGAGGCTTGAAAGACTGAGGAAAGAACGTCAGAACCAAATAAAATGTAAAAATGTTCAGTGGAAGGACCGGACATCCTCCCAGTCTGGTACGTAGTTTAAATTGTTTCAAATAATCAATTTTTCTCTCGTCTGTTTTAGCTCTGATGTCATCATCACGTTCCAACGGGTTAGACAAACATTGCTGTAAAAGGGGAGTTCTTGCACATCTTTTAGTGTATTAGGATCATGTGTGGTCATTTAAGGCATAAATAACATAGTCATGTATTTTTGTTTTATTAGATCTATTTTGTATTCAATTATTCATTTAAATATTGTGATGATATTTTATGGCCTTATCACCCAGATCTAAAATATCCACAACCCTTTTTAAAGTTTGGATTTCCCGTTAAACACATGAAAACTAACATGTTGTGACTGTTAAACATATTCTTTTGTTTTTACAATGAGTAGGGCTGCAACAGATCTGAAACAAGGACTGAACGCAGTCGTCTGTGTGATTTAATAATATGGAACATCAAATATCAAATTTTTTATGATTCTTAAAGGAGTGGTTCCATAATTTAAACATTTGCAGTGGTCTCTAGTAGGAATAAATGCCTTGTAAGCAAGTCATACTCAGGGGGAAAAAAGCTCAGATGCACGTAATCAGGACGTCAGTTGGAGGAAAAACTAGCTTCAGACGATAGGTTTTGGACTCTCCTGACTTTGGACTTTCCTGATATTTGGACATCTCACCTCTGATTGGCTAACAGCAACGCAACTTTACCCCTGACTGTTTGCTCTGTAACGTTGATGTTTTATCTCCACATCTAACTCAAGCGTGGAGGAGTTCTGCTGTGTGGTGGAGTTGCTAATGCTAATGGCTACTAGTTGAGACATCCTCTGCTCTATACTTGACTCAACAACAGCCCTTCCCATCTCGAGTCAAAATGAGTGAGTCCATGAATCTTAAATGACAGTGTGACGTAGATCTGTCAGGCTTATCAAATCGTAGAGTTTCCCCGTCTATTTTCTATTAGAAGCTAATGCAGGAGATAGGTGTAGGAGACCATTTTCATGTTCTGCCTGCATGAAATCTCAGTGTGACTGATTATAATCAGAAATAATCATTAAAAATGGTTTTTCAGTGATCCACATCTTTAAATAAAAGTGGCATGAATATATTTATGTTTACTACTTTTTGATTTTCTGTTCAGTAGAAGATCTGGGCTCTCTGTTTGAGAAACGGGATTATAAGGACAGGCTGCGGACATTGGGAACTAAATCCACCTTGTCCCTGCGTCTGGAGCAGTGTCCTCAGCAGCTCAACAACCCCTTTAATGAATACTCCAAGTTTGATGGCAAGGTGAGAATCCCTTTATCGGTCCATCTATGTGACTTTAGTTTGACCTTTGTGATCACCCACTGCCTAATGGCTAAAGGTGTGTATGTTAGGCATTGAATGGTAAAACTAACTCATCTGTGCTGTAGGTAGGCAGGCTCAGAGGAGATGTTAAAAGAAACTAATTTAGAGCTGAAAGTTCTTACTCTCTACAACTTTAGGGTCACATCGGAACGACAGCTACGAAAAAGATCGACGTTTACCTCTCAATGCAGATGACTCAGGAGAAAGTGCATCCAATGACTGTGGTCACCATTGCAAATGCCCGCGTGCACGACCTCATCGGGCTCATTTGTTGGCAGTATACAGGCGAAGGGAGAGAACCCAAACTCAAGTGAGTTCAAAGACATCCCAAGAAAATTCCAGCTGTGTTTCTTCACTCAACCCACTTCACTGATGGGTCTGTGGCACTTCCAGTAATTTTCTCCCAACTTTTCAGTACCTGCTTGATTGTGGTTCCTAGCGTTCTGACCAAGTCAGTCACTGATTGGCTAGGGGGTGGAGTCACTCGTTATTCCAGAGCTTTCTACTTGATGCTTCACTGGTTCAGAGTCTGACAAAAAGCCAGCGACTGAGCACAATGCTCATAATCATCGCAATTGTTGTGCTGAGTGGTGTTTCTGCGTAGCATACAGATCACCTCATGCTGTTTACTGATCATGAGTAGTGTCTTGGTAAATCCCTAGCCTGGCCTGCCAGACTCATCCTCTGTCTACACAGAGAACTAGTCTGGTTACTCACAGGCAGGGAGGTACATGAGGGGCGGGACTAGCCAGCTCAAAAATAACCAATCAGAAAAAAGGCGTAATGCAGACTGTACCACGCAATGCTGTAGTTTTTCAGCTGTAGTCAAAAATGGCATTTGGCGAAGGTGCAAACATCTTTCTTTAGAAGAAAGGCTTTTATCGCTTCCTCTTGTTGTGGTTTTAAAGACATGTCCAAGTCATTTAGAACAGAGGAAAGAGCCGCAGCAAACTCCACTTCAGACGCCATGTTTATGAGAAACTCAGCATTGCGGTGTGTGACGTACGCTGCTCAGCACTGATTGGCTCGATTAGAATTCTCCGAGGGTGGGGCTGGCTGGTCAGGCCAAAAAATCCCCATGTGATGATGTTCTGAATGTGAGAAGAATGATGAAATTGGTTGGTTAAAGTTACTTGACACCTGATCTGTTTCAAGCTTTCAGTGAATGTAGTCACATGACAGTAATGATGTTCATCTGTGTATAAGTAAGTGTGTGAAATAATAAGAATCAGCAATGTGGTTTAACCATTTTAAACCAGCCTGCAGTGCTGTCTCAAAGATGGTTCCAATGACCTTCAGATGATTCCAGAACAAACTCCCTCCTTGAAGGTGTTAGGGTTGCGATCTTGTCACCCTGGACTCATCTCTGAGAAGAGCCTGAAACTGGCTTTGAGACAACCCTCCGTGGAACAAGGGATTCTGCAATCTCTCAGCTTTGTTCCTGTTGTGGCTAACCTTCCTGAAACTTCCACATAACAGCTTGACCAGGAAGTGCATTATGCACCAGTATTGGTCTGCCTCTGTGTGACAGCTGTTAAGTGTCCCTCTGCTCCTGCCTACAGTGAGAATGTAGATGCCTACTGCCTCCACATTGCTGAGGATGATGGTGAGGTGGACACCGACTTCCCGCCGCTGGACTCCAACGAACCAATCCACAAGTTTGGCTTCAGCACTTTAGCGCTGGTGGAGAAATATTCATCCCCTGGCCTCACTTCTAGACAATCACTGTTTGTCAGAATGTAAGCTCAGAATAATCATATTTTGACAAAATGCAATACATTTTTAGCAAACCTGATTGTTATCAAGCACCAATAGTGCTATTTTGTAACGTTCAACTGTGAATAGGCAAGCCAGCGTTATTTATATAGAACATTTCATACGCAGAAGCAATTCAATCTGCTTTCCAGGTGCAAGAACAGCAAGAACATCAAAATCAGTGTGACAACATGAAACAGCAGATCATAAAATCAAATTTAAAAATACACAAATTAAATTAGATGTATAAAATAAGATAAAATATAAAGATTATGTGGAATGTTCATATTGTTAAGCTTATAAATGATTAATAAGAAAGACTCTCCACATATTCCAATTAGAACAGATGAAACTCATCTGGTGAGAAGCTAAACTTCTTCAAGGATTCAAAGAAATCCTCTTTCCCTCTTAAACCTTCCAGGATTAATGACCTGGATGACTGAACCTTCACCATCATTAGTGGGAAAACAACCCAAAGCATTTTCTACTGAACCTGTAGCAGCTTTATATATGATAGCATGTGGCTTGATTCAAATGGAATCTGATATAAATGAATTGGTTAGTGTTTTTGTCATAGTGACCTTTATGTTGATGATTTAACTGATAAAGAGCTTGAGCTACAGTTACTCTTATAGCCCTACATTTATGTCCTTAACATCCTTAACTTCTTTTGTGTCTTTTTTCCTTTTAGAAATGCAGCTCACGGCTTTTCTCTGATACCTGTAGACAGCCTGAAGGTAACTATGAAGGAAATCCTTCAGAAAGCACTCAAGAAGAGGAAAGGTTCACAGAAAGGCTCTGGTAATCTGATGTTCTATTATTTATTATGCTTTCTTATTCCTGTAAGAGACACGCACACATGCACGCACGCACGCACACACACACACACACACACACACACACACACACACACACACACACCACACACGCGCGCACGCTCACACGCGCACACACACACACACACACGCACGCACGCACGCACACACACACACACACACCACGCGCGCACGCTCACACGCACACACGCACGCACGCACGCACGCACACACACACACACACACGCACGCACACACACACACACACACACACACACACACACACACACACACCACACACACACACACACACACGCACACGCGCGCATGCTCACACGCACACGCACGCACGCACGCACACACACACACACACACACACACACACACACACACTTTTAGCTAACCCTAACTTTAGAACAGAACTGTGACGTTGTGGTTTCTGGACAGGGCCCTTGTATCGTCTGGAGAAGCAGATGGAGCCAAATGTTGCTGTTGATCTGGACTCAACACTAGAAAACCAGAATACACTGGAGTTCTGCTTGGTGAGAGAAAACAGTAAGTCGTCCCATTGTGAGCAGTGACCTGCGCTGATTTCAGTTACTTCTACTTCTTAAACTTGATATGAATACTGATGAAACGTGCCACACCAGCTCCCTCAGAACCTTTAAAGACTTCTATCCAGTACCACCCGAGTCCCTGAAACCATCCATTTCTTCCGCCTATCCAGAGTCGGGTCACAGGGGCAGCAGCTTAAGTTGAGAGACCCAGACTTACCTCTCCCCAACAACTTGTGCCAGCTCTTCTGGGGGAATCCCAAGGAGTCTATGGCCAGCCAAGAGACATAGTCCCTCCAGCGTGTCCTGGGTCTCTCTTTAGGTCTCCTCCAAAGTCAATCAAAGCTTTATTTGTATATAGCGTCTTCCACAACCCTTTTCGGGCGCCTAAAGCACTATAAAACATTGTAAAAACACATACAATCCAAAAAAGAGAAGTTAAAACATAGAACATAAAACGTAGAGCAATAAGGCAAAGGGATAAAACATTGAATAAAAGCGCCCTAACAAGGAATAAAACAGCACTTTAAAACAAGAACTAAAAATAACAAAAGCAAGCCGACTTCAAACATGTTCTGGAAACTCTAATTGAAAAAAGAATTTTCAGTCGACTCTTAAAAACAAAGAGGTAGACGGCCTAAATGCAGGTGGCAGCTGGTTCCACAGTGATGGGGCCAGGACCGTTGTCCCGGTTGGATGTGCCAAGAAAAGTTCACCGTGGAGGTGTCCAGGAGGCATCCTAATCAGATGCCTCATTACATTGGCTCCCTGTAGATTTTCGGGCAAGGTTTAAAGTTCTGTGATATGCCTTTGGGTCTCCTTATGGTGGTGCTCCACCATATTTGGCTGCTCTAATAAAAAGGCATACACCATTACGAACCCTTTGCTTGGCTGACCTGGAGCCACTGACTGTCCCACTGACTAGGTACAGGTCTAGAGGAGATCGGGCTTTCTCGGTCTTGGCTCCTTGTCTCCGGAATGAGCTTCCACTAAACTGTCACCTTCACTGCAGGTTTATAAGAGTCGTTTGAAGACTCATTTTTATAATTTGGCCTTCATGTGACTTTGTTATATGCTTTTGTGCTGCTTTTACACTTTGTATGTTGCTTTTGTCTCCCTTTACTACCCAAAGCTCGTGACCATAGGTGAGGGTAGGAACATAGATCTACTGGTAAATTGAGAGCTTTGCCTTCTGGCTCAGCTCTCTCTTCACCACAACAGATCAGTACAACGCCCGCATCACTGCAGACGCAGCATCAATCTGCCCATCTATCTCATGCTCCATCTTTCCCTCACTCGTGAACAAGACCCCGAGATACTTGGAACTCCTCCACTTGGGGCAGGACCTCATCCCTGACCCATAGAGGGCATTCTACCCTTTTATGACTGAAGACCATGGTCTTGGATTTAGAAGAGCTGATTCTCATTCCAGCTGCTTCACACTCGGCTGCGAACCGCTTCAATGAAAGCTGGAGATCACGTTTCAATAAAGCCAACAGAACCACATCATCTGCAAAAAGCAGAGACCTGATCCTCAGGCCACCAAAATGGATGCCCTCAACACCTTGGCTGCACATAGAAATCCTGTCCATAAAGGTTATGAACGGAATCTGTGACAAAGGGCAGCCTTGGCGGAGTCCAACTCTCACTGGGAACAAGCCCGATTTACTGCTGGCAATGCAGATCAAACTCTGACACCGGTCATACAGGGACCTAACAGCCCATATCAAAGGCCTCGAACACCTTCTCCAAATCCACAACACACATGTAGATTAGTTGGGGCGAACTCCCACACACCCTCCAAGATCCCCCTAACCCCCAAATTCCACTACCTCCGCTCCGACACGAACGTCGGAGCAAAATCGGTCCCGTTGTAGTCAATCAGAGCAATTCCACTACTGCGGCCGTGCTCCGGCAGTGCGGCGCCGTGCGCCGCCCTCTGTTCCGGCGTCTGGCAAAAATAGAATCGATCCTATTTTCGCCGGACGCCGGAGCACCTCCGCAGTAAATGGACAGAAATCACAACAGCCCAACAGGAAAAGGAGCAAGCACAACTTCCGTTTTTCACAATAAATCGATAAACAAAAGGCGTTTTTTGTTTCATATGCACAGGTTTAACAACTTTTAACAACTATCAATGGCGGCTGAAGTTTAAATGCACAAAAGTAAGCAATAAATACAGTTTCTACTATCAAAGTAGTCACACTTTGTTGATCCAAACACTGCTGATCTCTATACAAATGATGAGCAGATTAAACAGCTCATGCCGATGCTTCTCCCACACAACGGGTGTTTGGATCTAACTTCCGCGTTTATTGCTCGGACTGTATCGCAAGATCTTGAAAATCCCGCGCATGCTTGTTTGCCCACCTCAGGTCTCCGCACCGGAGCGGAGCCGTTGTAGAGCAGGTACCAGTAAAAATTGAGTTCGGAAGCGAGCGGCTGCGGAAGGCGGGGGCGGACCAGAGCGGAGCGGAGCGGAGGTAGTGGAATTTGGGGGTAAGAGTATAGAGCTGGTCCAGTGTTCCACGGCCAGGATGAAAACCACATTGTTCCTCTTGAATCCGAGGTTCAACAATCCGCTGGACCCTCCTCTCTAGAACCCCTGGAAAGTTCTTACCAGAGAGGTTCAGGATTGTGATCCCCCTGTTGTTGGAACACAATCTGCTGTCCCCTTTTTAAATATTTAGGTGGACCACCACCCCCGTCTGCCAGTCCAGTAGAACTGCCTCCGATGTCCATGCTATATTGCAGAGCCGCATCAGCCAACACAGTCTTGCAACATCCAAAGCCTCAAAGAACTCTGTGTGGATCTCATCCACCCCATAGCCTTGCCACCAAAGAGCTTTTTGACACAATGACGTCAGCCCCAGAGATTGGAGAGCTCAAAAGTCCCCACACTCTGCTTCCTCACTGGAAGACATGCCAGCGGGATTGAGAAGGTCTTCGAAGTACTTTGCCCACCGATCCACATTGTCCGGAGTCGAGGTCAGCATTACGCCATGCCCACTATAAATAGTGTTGGGAGCGCACTGCTTTCCCCTCCTGAGATGCTGGATGATGGACAGACCAGAATCTCCTTGAAGGGAGACCATCCGGAATCCCATAAACAACTTCTTTAAATTATCTGATTTATTAGGTGATCATCCTAGTTCTTTCTTTTTGGTATTTTTCCAGGCTCCAGAGGTGAAGAGAGCTCAGAAGAGGACCCTCCTATCGACATCACATCGGTCCAGGACATGCTGAGCAGCCACCACTATAAGTCCTTCAAGATCAGCATGATCCACAAGCTGCGTTTCACTACAGACGTGCAGCTCGGTACTTACTGGTCCCAGTGCCGTAACACTGGTGGTGTTTACAGGAGTGCAATTTTGTTATACTGAAATTGTGGTCAGAACATCTGATATAGGATCTGTTTTTAGGTCGCTAAGTAGATATTTGCTGCAGGAGCCTTTTATAGTTTTGTTGTTATGTTTTAGATGTTTGAGGCTGGTAGCTCATCCTGTCCTGGTGTCTCTACGTTTGATCAGATGTAGAGACTGTGGCTTCTTAGCACTTACTGTGGAGTCTCTTGCTTTGGGTCTTTCTCCAGACCCGTTCCTCGTCTCATGTCTTTCTTGGAGGTCCACACAGTGTTTGTGACACCACTTTGTTTCTGCCTTCTTCTGCAATACAAATATAACGCAGACACAGCTTGCATCTTTTATTATGAACATTAAATCAGAGGAGAAGAAAGGTTTCAGGGCTCAGCCTAGAGCTAGAGCTAGTTCAGGGGATTAGTAGTGACAGAATAAAGGAATCATTTCTGTTTGTTTTATCCAGTAAGTCAGCAGAAACCCAAAGCTGTTACCTGCTGCTACACACTGTTCTCTCCAGCTTTGGGCAGTAGGGAATGCGTCTCTGGTGTGTTTGCAGGTGTTTCAGGAGAGAAAGTGGAAATCGATCCAGTTACCAATCAGAAGGCGAGCACTAAGTTCTGGATTCGACAGAAACCCATCTCTATTGACTCGGACCTCCTGTGTGCCTGTGACCTTGTAGAGGAGAGAAGTCCCAGTAAGTCCAGTCACAGTTCTCTCTGTTTAATAAAGACTAAAACATTGATCCGATCTGAATGAAAGCTCCCCTGGAAAATGCTAAACCTTCACTAAACAAACACAGTTAAAGAACAGCTGAGCTTTAAAAGGTTCTGTGGTGTTATCAGCACTAAGTATCTTACCTGCTGTAGATGGAGCACTAAGGAGTGTGGACCAGTACAGTCTTCAGATTAAAAAGCCCTAAACTAGAGAAGGAGTTCTGAGAAGTGAGCTAGGACATAATCTGTAAAAAACATCCCACTACAGTTTAAAACTTGGTTCTTTTCGTTTTTAATTGATGAATTTTCTCAGGTAGAAAGCAAACCAAGTCTAGTTTCATATGCTGGTGAAGGTTCTCAGTTATCCAGGTCATGGTAATCCAAAAGGGTTCAAATGAAGGCAACTGGACTTCTTTTGCCACTGGACGAACTCCAGTTGTCTTCGTTTGAAAACATTTGGACAACAAGTCCAGTTTCCTGTTTTCTGGGACTAGTCTCCAGTGTTAATGAAGTGACTGGAGGGTAAAGTTGTTAACAGGGATGCTGCATCCTGTCTGAGATGGGACTTATTTGTTTTAGAGCTGGTGGACTCCACACAACCAAGAGAGTTGATGATGTGCTTTCTGTTGTTTTCTTGCCTTACAGGTCATGCTATATTTAAACTCACCTATCTGAGCAACCATGACTATAAGCCTCTGTACTTTGAGTCTGATGCTGCTACGGTCAATGAAATAGTGCTGAAGGTGAGTTTTTTCTGACTCTGACTGTAACCTGCTCCTGTCTGAGGACAAACACTCACATTTCTCTACTGCTGTGGAAGAAACTCATTGGTTTAAATTGTTTACCTAAATGGTAAATGGCCTGTGTTTGTTATAGCGCCTTCTAGAGCCCTGGAACCCCCCAAGGCGCTTAACAACACAATCAGTCATTCACCCATTCACACCCTGGTGGTGATGAGCTACACTGTAGCTACAGCTACCCTGGGGCACACTGACAGAGGTGAGTTTGGTCCCTCCAACCACCACCAGCAGCAGGCAAGGCGGGTTAAGTGTCTTGCCCAAGGACACAGCGACAGACTGAGCGGGGCTCGAACCTGTAACCTTCTGATTACGAGGCGAGCACTTAACTCCTGTGCCACTGTCGCCCCAACAGGAAGTTGAGCCCAGGCCTGACAGATGTTTACAGTCTGATGTCTGTGCGTCCATTTGGAGCAACTCTTCAACACTCTAATTCAGTTAGGCTTTTTTTATCACATGTTCTTTAATTAAAAACGTCCTTAATGAACATAATGGACAGTGATATTTGTAAATGGGACTGAAATGCTGCTTTCACCAAAGTGCTGCAGCTGGACTCAGGTCAGAGGAATGTTGCAGCTCATGGTGATAATCTGGTTCACCAGAAAGTTAAAAGAATAATTATTTTCCTCATTATTTTGATTATTTGTTTAGTTTGAGGTTTTCTGAACCTTTGAGGATAACCAGTGGTGGAGTATTAAAGTCCCACTCTGGCTGTTTTTGTTAAAACCACTTATGTCAAATGTACCTTGAGTGATTTTCATAAAAATGCCGTCACCCATCATCCACAGCATCCCTAAATATCCGGTTCTTTCTGCTCTGGGAGACCATTTTCCAGTGATGGAGACGGTTCAGATGTGATATTCTTGAATAGATATCTGAGCAGAACACATTCCATCATCACGCCATACATGCTATGACTGAAGCAGTTTTGTGTTTTGGGGTTTGCATAGGTTAACTACATCCTGGAGTCTCGGGCCAGCACCTCTCGGGCTGATTACTATGCCCAGAAGCAGAGAAAGCTCAGTCGTCGGACAAGTTTCAGCTTCCAGAAAGAGAAGAAGACGGGTCAGTAGACAGAAGCTGCTGGTGCAGACCTTTTCCTGACCATCTGTCTCTCTGAAGCTCCTGATCCGGAGCTGGAGACCTACAGGATAACAGGCAGGTTTTCCTGCTTTCGTTGATCCAAGCTGGAGTCTCTGAATCTCCGCAAGGGAGCAGATCACGTCAAAACGGAAACTTAATTTCAACAGACTGAAGAACTGTGGACAGTTTGGCTGTTGTGTAGCAGTCAAGTATTTTGTTCTCTCACTGCCTCTGTATTTAAATTCTGTCTTTCAAGATGTATTTGTAAAACTTCTACAAGTTGGTCGAGTTAGCCCAACAAACAGATCACAGCTACAGGCAAAAATCTGCTTCTGTTCCTTCTTTAACCCACTGGAGTGGGCCTGTTTTTATGTACTGTTTAAAAACATTTTCTATTCAGGAAATGAAATATTACAAACCATACTAGCTCAACTGCTTTGAATTACCTTCTTTCTCCAGTCCTCCTTCTGAAAGCATCGTTTTAACCATCTGGTACCTGCACCAGACACCTGGGTTATTTCTGGCCCTACGCTTTACCATCACCTACAAAGCTACTATTTCTTTTCATGAAAATTAATTAAGAAGCAGCTGAGATGGGTTGGAGAAGCATGAGATAACCCTGCAGCTAACTGGCGAAAACTTTTGCTCATTATTTTAACGGATGTTTAGAATCCCAGCGAGGGTTTAAAGGCGATCTGGAAAGTCTACCAGTAGAGTTAGAAATGTGTTGCTTCCATTGACAGCCCAGTGAGAGACTGGTTTATCTAAATGCTTCCAGACATTTGGAACGAACTAAAGACAAACTCACTGAGACTTAATGAAAATGAATTCAGAGGAACAGGACATAAACGGCATTTTTTAATTTTCCAACTGTCTGTAGAGAATGACACCAGTAATTTTATAATAATCCCATGTTTAATTAAAATAGAGATGTTTTGATTCGATGACCATGAAGGTTCAGTACAGTGATGCACAGATCCTGTTCTCTATTGTTGCTGTGTCACTGCCACTCTGCTGGATCGAAGCACGAGGAAACAACTAATGAAAATGTCGAGCGTCATGTTTCAATTCTTTTACTTAGTTTCTATTTCTGCTTTAGTTTCACGTTTCTACTTTCACTTTTAATCTGATTAATTTATGGTTTTATGGTATAATTATTTGCTCTGAACCAAAATGCCTCCAACATGACCTCCCATCTGATCAGTGTGTGCTCTTCTCCCTTAGAGCCAGTTTCTATAAGGACCCTTTCTCATAGGAGTGACAACTGTTTTCTACAAACACAGAACAAGGGCTCATTTTAACACATTTACTTGCTGACTATCTGAAAGCTACTGATTTGTTTAACCTTTTCCACCGTCTGCGAGCATAAACAGAAGTGCCTGAACATTGCTGACACTTGTCTTTGATTCAGTTGTGTAATATTTTTCCCAGGATGACTTTTTCTAATGGTATTATTGAAAAGCGTTCTAAGCAGACAACATAATGGAGGATAGAGAGCATGAAAATGAGTGTCTTAGTACTTAAGTCTTAATGTCACATTCTCTCTTTCTGTGTGTGTAGAAGAAGAAACAGTCTTTTATATAGTGCCTCTCAAGATAAGTCGTGAGGTGCTTCACAAGAACAACAAAAAAAAGAGATGAAAAAATTATTAAAAACATACAATTGGGAGAAGTAAAAAACTGATTAAAAATTAGATTAAAGGGAAACAGAATAAGAAAGAGGTATTCGGTGGATCTCGGGAAAGGCAGATTTACAAGTGTGTGTTTGTGTGCGTGAAGTAGAAAGTCTGTAAGGTCAAATGGACTCAAAGATCATATGATGTGTGTAAAGTGTGAATATATTAGGATGAGTTCTCACTTACAGACTTTAATAGCTATCTTTATCCTAGATGAAAATCTAAGGCTGGTGAGTGTCAGAAAAAAATATTTTCTTCTAAAAAAAGATACAATTTGAACTTTAAACCTAAAACACTGAGGCTAAGATAACTAAAAGAGACCTTTACAAATCCTGTCCTACATGAGGTTCTGGAAAACAACCCTTGATGTTACCTTTGAGCTCATATACTGAAAGTTAGACTTTTTTGGGGGGGAATCAGGGAATTTTGTTGTGTCCAAATTATAAAAACTGGCCTAAGATTTATATGTTGGTAAAACTTGAAATTATGTTGTTACTGACACATAACTTCTAAAACCTTGGGCCTAAAATAATTAGATTTTCAAAGTGGGGGAGACAAAAATGGCTTGGTGGTGCCCCCCTGTCCCACCCCCCAAATACGCCCATGACTGGGCACTTCTAGAAACCACTCAAAAAGACTCCAGCTGGCTCTAATGTGTTGTTAGGCTACTAGTGACAGAAGAGAAGTCTGGATTATGCCCCGATGAAGGTCGCACGCGACCGAAACGTGTCGGCTTATATTGTAATAAATTATTTTTTGGAGTGCCAGACTCAGATCGTGACTTTTTTCTTCCATATCTACTTTTGAAGTTTTTATGATCTTGAAGAGCACCTGAGGTACTACAGAAATTATAGATATATCTAGTCCCACTGATGCACTCACTCCCACCTGTTTGAAGTCTGGTTTAATGTTTACTACCTTTTATGGCCGACAGAGGTCGCCATTATAAACTCTGCATAAAGCATTCTGGGACAATGACGTTCATCTAAAGAAGCTGACACCTAGGACACCGACCGCCAAAGCGCCGCAAAACGGGGACCGCCTTCATTCGGCACCCTTGTTATCCTATTCTATTGGCCACATGGTCCGCCATATATATGTATATATATATATATATTTTTTTTTATTTGCAGATGATACCAACATCTTTTGCTCTGGGGAGAGTTTACAGGAGCTTGTAGGGACAATAACATCAGAACTTAGTAATTTAAAACAGTGGTTTGATATGAATAAATTGTCAAAAAATTTAAGTAAAACAAAGATGATATGGTTTGAAAAACAAAATTATGGATCCAGTACAAGTAATAGTAGATTATATATGTATTGAATGGGTATATGAATGCAAATTTTTGGGTGTTATGTGTGATCATAAAATCTGTTGGAAGCTTCACATTAAACATATCAAAGCAAAAATAGCAAAGAGTATAGCAGTGTTAGCAAAAACAAGTCATGTGTTAAACCACGTATCCCTAAAGACACTTTATGATTCAATGGTCCCATCATACTTTAATTAACGTGTGGGGATTTGGGGAAACACAAATGTACTTTACAGCCACTTTAAATATTACAAAAAAGAGCAATAAGTATAATTCATAAGGTGGGACATATGGAACACACAAATTTATTATTTTTGAATTCAAACATACAAAAATTTATGGAGCTTTTCAAATTCAAAACTGGGCATATAATGTACAGAGCAAGATATAATCAGTTACCTGAAAATTTAAAAAATATATTCTCGGAAAGAAAAAAGGGATATGAGTTAAGGGGAGAACTCAATTTTAGAAAACATAAAACAAGAACAATGAGGAAAACGTGCACAGCTGTGTGTGGAGTGAATCTGTGGAACAGTATGGATGAGGACTTGAAACACTGTTTTAATATGAGGCATTTAAAAAAGAATATATTAAAAAATCTATTGCAAGAGTACATGGATGTAACCAAGTCTTAAGTAGACAGTGAACATGTATTATCAAATTGCTGGGTGATATGACAGTTTGAGAACTAATTGTAAAGTGAAAGGGGAAATTTTTATTACTAACATTTTCAATTGTATTTTTTATTTTTATTACTTAAATTTATCATTATATTATAATATCAAAATATATATGTTAGGAATTTTATCAATATATTTTATCAATAAACCCATTTCCTGCAGTCGAAGAGGAGAGACACAATAAACAGGCGAGTAAACCAAATTGCAATTTGTGGCAGAGCAACGAGGCAACTGCCCCGAATTCTGCCATGCAAGTTTATTTTATAACCAGAGATAAGGAAAGAACAGAGGTGTGTGTGTGTGTGTGTGTGTGTACTGGTATATATGTGGGAAGTTACAAGGTAACAAGAATGTGTGTGTGGGAATGCTTTCAGGCATAAGGTAATACATCTTTTAAAAGGATTAAAGTAATGAAATATAAAATTTCCATAACGTAATCTCTCCTGATTATCCAAATAGGATAACCAAACAAAAAGAAAACAACAAAACAAAGAACAAATAAGTAAAATAATTAAGAACTAATAAAATAATAAAACACGATAAGGCAAACATGACTGACAATAACATTAAACAGCAGTTTACAAAGATATAAGTGAGATAATGGAAATCAGCTAAATAAACACCATCATAAACTCAAGAAGAGCTATTACGTACATTTTGAAGTGAATTTACTGTGATGCAACAATTCTACAATTTATAGCAGTTCCTGTAAAGGGATTGGGAAGGGTTAGCAAAACCATATAATATAAAACATCAGAGTTTATTGAAACATCAGATGAATTTAATTTAAAGCTTCAAGTTGCAGACGACTCTTTCTGTGAATGAGGGAAAATGAAGGCGAAATATTAATTTACGTAGCTCTAACTACGGCAGAGCTGAGGCAAACCAGGCGTTCTTCATCAGAGGGCTTGTCCGTGGACTGAGAGTCCCGGTTGGAAGATAGTTTGGAAGGTCAGCGTCCTCTTCCGTTGATCAGGATGGTTTTAGTCTTTCGTTGATGAGTACCTTGAAGCAGGGCCAGATTAACACTTTGTTGTACCCTGGGCAACAATATTCAAGGGCCCCATCATCACGACCCAAGGATCACCATAATATGGTCACATACAGAATATATTACTGTAATATGCAGTAAATATACTCAATAATTGAATGCCTGACATCACGTAACCTGCTCAGGCTAACCTTTGACCCACCTTGTGTAGACTGACCAATGAGGAGAGGGTCTTAACTTGAGGCCCTCTCTTCATTGGTCAGTCTGCATGAGACTGACTCTCAACTGACGTTCAAAGTCATAGGCAGCGAAGCGTCTCTGTGCAGTGCAAAAGCCCGGGTGGACAGTTTGTTTAATATAGGGTGACCATATTTCCATTTCCAAACAAGAGGACAGGGGATCTGTGCCTATGACGTCACACTATGGCAACGCCACATAAACCACGTTGGGACCCATTTTTTTGTAAGAACTAAATTAATATCAGATTCTGCCAATAAAAGGGCTCAAAAACAATTCATATGTAAATATTTTGCATATTTATTGCAAAATCTCATTTTTCTTCTTTAGTGCTGCAACAAGGTTTTATTAATAAGAAATTATAACTTTTGTTTTACTACACCATCGGTAAGCTTCCTGTGCACAGATCATTAAGGATGCTTGTTTCAGCTGTGAGATTAGACGATAGGATCAATGAAAAAATAAGTTGTCACACACTCCATGGAAACTTTCAGAGAATCCACAAATAGCGGCCTTCAAATGGTTTTGTTACTTTTTACAAGTTTAGAAAAGCAACAGATGAGACAGCATGTCTGATAATTTAGTTTTTCATCTGATAATATTAGAACATGTCAGCAATGTCTGAGGGGTTTTTACAAACACTGTATAACTAATACTCCTGGAGAGGGCATGAATTACACAGAGGCTTCTGGGGATCCCAGCAATGGGTGGGGGGGGGGTGGGGGGGGCTATTTTGCCTTGGCCCCCGAAATGTCTTGAAACAGCTCTGGCTGTGTGACTGAGTGTTGAAGGTGATCTGAATTGTATCAGATGTACAATTATAACATGTGTGTAACTTATTGCTTTATACAGGTAAAAACATGTAGTGGAGATAAATCTACCTACATTTTACTTTTTGTTTTGTTTTCTTGTTTTAATTTAACTATTTCCTGTCCTGTCTGTCTCTCATCTTCCTGCATCTCCTCTAAACTCTCCAGAAAATCTGCTGCCTGGATTCTTACTTTTTCACCTCATCAGTTACTTTTGAGCAGATCAAAGGGATCTCCTGACTACAAAGCGGAGAGCGCGTTTCGATGCTGCGTCAGTGAGGTGAAATCACCGCAGCACAGGTGATGAGCTCCGCAGTGGTAGAGCGCTTCAGGTGCAAATAAGACAGAAAATAGAGAACATGTGCGGACATGAACGATCGTGTGCTAATTATAGTTTTTTGATTGCGCCACTTTGAGAATGGACCGTGCGCTGGAAGCAGCTGCCTGTGCCGCTCTCTGTGCTCTCTGCTCAAGAGTCCATAAATGATGTAATATAGGTAGAAAACTTTTTTCCGGCTTCCCCGGATGTGTAGGATATCCAGCTACCCCATAATTCGATCCCTGCTCCTGCAAAAGCCGGACATTTTCATCAATACAAGAACCCCCAGTCCGGACGCCCCGGACATAGAGTGAAAAGTGGACATGTCTGGGGAAAACAGGACGTACGGTCAGAAAGCGGGAAATTACAGATACAGTATTTTGCTCGTGCCCTGGGTCCTTTAGAGTTTGTGGGCAACTGGGCAATTGTCCAGTTGCCCATATGGTTAATCTGGCCTTGGATTGAGGGTAACGTTTTGTTTCACCGCCGGACTCCAGCCTTGGCAAAAAGGTCTGATTGGGCCCAAGTTGAACAGATTGTGGTCCCTGAAACTTTACGGAATTATGTTCTCTCCTTGACCCCTGACTGCGAGTGGTCCGGCCATTTAAATCAAACATATATCGCCACTCGTTTTCCTGAAGATATTTCTTTGTCTTCCATTACGTCCCAGGCTGTGATAAGAGCATTACCTGGGTTCTTTTCTGGTTTTGGGGTTACCTAAGGTCATTCAGTCGGATCAGGGCACTGACTTCACCTCTCGATTTTTCAACCGAGTGGCATTTGGTTCTTCTTTAATGTTTTGGAAACTGCAAACTCATTCCATCGTCTAGGAGTATCTTTTAGCTCTGAGTCCTTGAACGTCGAATGTAACGAAAACCCCGAGTCCTTGTTCAGGTTTCTATTTACTAGTCCAGCAGTTATATTGAGACCAAACAAAATTTGCTTCGTCGCGGATTTCTTCCCGCTGTCCCACGCATGAGGTCTTTTCCGCCTCCCGCGACTCGTCGTGAGCTCCGGCGATTTATAGGGATGGCTGATTTATACAGGGGTGGTTGCCGTAATTTCTCGGCTGATTTATGCAGGGGTGGTTGCCGTAATTTCTCGGCTGATTTATGCAGGGGTGGTTGCCGTAATTTCTCGGCTGATTTATGCAGGGGTGGTTGCCGTAATTTCTCAGTGGTAGCTCAGCCCCTTACTGATATGCTTAATTCTCGCGTCCCTTTTTCCTGGGCCCCGGAGTGTCAAACTGCTTTTGTGTCTCTGCAAAAACTACTCTGTTGTGCTCCTGTTTTGGTGGCTCCAGATCTCACCCGACCTTTTAAGTTGGAGGTTGACGCTAGCCAAGCAGGGGCTGGAGCTGTCCTCATCCCTGAGGATGACAAGGAAACTGTAGCACTCAGATGGACTCTGCAACATTTCCATGTTTATGTTGGAAACAGTTCATTGACAACTATTTTTTTTTCAGACCACAACCCTCTCGTCTTTTTTTCCCGGATGTATGACCACAACCAGCGGCTGATGCGGTGTGCCCTCCTGCTCCAAGAATTCAACTTGGAGATTCGCCACAAGAAGGGCTCTGACAACCTCATCGCTGACGCTCTGTCCCGCAATTTTGATCATGGGGCTCCCTTGTAGGCTTTTTGTTTGTAGATATTGGAGCCGATGAAGGCTAGTGTTGTCTGCGCAAGCAGACTTCTCGGGAACACTCCGCAGCACTGGGGATCAGCGCAGCGAGATAATTTGTGTTTAATCAGCTCGCCTTCCGTGGTCCACGAAGACCAGGGTTAGTTGGTTAGGGTTTTGTGTGTATAGACCAGCGGGAGACCTCATGTTTGGAATAAATTAGTTCCCATTTATTCTCGGGGGGGGGGGGGGGGGGGGGGGGGGCACGTACGTTCACCTACACAGCCACTGGATGGCCTCTGCTGCTTCCTCCTCATCCGGTTCCCTTGCCAGCTGTTCCGAATTAGTCATCACCTGGTCTGTGCTAAAAGCGGCTCTCCGGCATCCAGTCAACGAGAAGGTCCAGATTAGTGTAGACTCAGTTGAGTTTATACTATTCTCTTCTCCTCGTGTGCATTTGGTAAAGCTCGTTTCGCTCGCTAGTCTTCGGTTTACACACTCTTTAGGATTTAGGATTTAGGATTTAGGAATAGATAATTTGGCTTCTCGACTTCGGACCGTCTTTGACTTTGACTTTTGATCTCCCCAGAGATTTCCTGCTTATCAGGAAAGCTCTTATTATTCTCGGTTGTTTAATGATAAATGACCCGCACTTGTATAACGCTTCTCAGAGTAAGGACTCCAAAGCGCTTTACACTACAGTGTATCATTCATCCATTCACAAACACATTCACACACTGGTGGGGATGAGCTACAATGTAGCCACAGCTGCCCTGGGGCGCACTGACAGAGGCGAGGCTGCCGAGCACAAGTGCCACCGGTCCCTCCGACCACCACCAGCACCCCCTTCTGGGGTGGCGTTTTCCATTCTCCCCTTTTGTATATAGCTCCTTCCTGTATTGTATTTATTGATATCCTTCTTGTAAATATTCCTTTTGTAATAAAATCCTTTGTTATTTTAGCGACACAGCACTTTATTATTTCACCCGCACACCAATTTTATTACTCTCCTATCCTCATCTCTCCTAGAGAGCCGGGGACGTAATACTCATCAATTGCATTCTGTCTGGTTGGGGTCATAGCCTTTTGCAGAAACTGGCTCATAGAGCTCTGGGTAGGTCGAGGTCGTGTATTGAATGATGCTGTAGACACTGCAGCAGCAACAGTTGCAGTAGACACACTGGCACCTTTATTTTCAGGTTGCCGTGCTTGTCTACTTTCTTCTAACTGCACTGATGGGGGAACAGTTTTCATGTGCCTGTGCAGGTTATTTGTGGAGCCTGCTCTATGTGATATCTTCACCTTGCACACTTTACACTCAACCCTTGAGTTGTTTATAATACTAAAATGGGTCAAAATTTGGCTCCGTTTCTGACTGTTGTCGTTTATTTTCTCACCGTCTTCGTTGCACTCTCCTCTCTCTCGCTTGCCTTTTTCCTCCTCCTCATTCTCTCGTCTCCCTCCCGCCCCTACTGCTCTGTGTGTGGACAGTCTGGGCACACACTTACATGTGTTGACCATTCGCCTGTGGTTTTCACAAAGACAAGACAAGGGTGTGTGTGGGGGGGGTGACGGCTCCGTCATTCGAGCCGGTTCATTTGCGACCGACACATCACTATGACAGAGAGAGAGAGAGGTAGCTGGCAGAATGGAGGTAGGCACAGTTTTTCATTCTGTTTTAACGATACCAAGCATTAATTTTGGGATGAAAATGTTGTTAACCTGAATATTTTTGTTTTTCTCAGGAGGATTCTGAACTCTTTGTTATGTTTGAGTTTGCTCCAGTTATAATAAACATTTTTTTATAAAAAATTATATTTATTCTCTCCATATTAGAAATAAAAACATTTTTAATCATTATTAAAAGTTATTATTAAAAATTAAGTTTGTGATTAACTTTAAGTTAACTAGAGACAATCAGGCGATTAATCGCAATTAAAAATTTTAATCAATTGACAGGCCTAATATATATATATATATATATATATATATATATATATATATATATATATATATATATATATATATATATTCACTTTTGAAGCACCTTGTGATTTTTATCTATATAAAATATTGTTTCTGCTTCTCGGTTTCTCACTGATCTACGCTAGAGAGTAACCGAAGTAGCTAAATGCTTTTTCAGAGACCATGTTTCAGTCATGGTTTGTTACTGATGTTTTGATGTTGGGACTTTGTAACAACACCATGTCTCACCCTGATGAACTTGAATTTTTTTTTGCCAGGTTCAGATGTTTAACCATCAAGTTCAACTCAGGCTCAGCTGAGAGAATGTTTCTGGTCCATCCAAGGCAGAGAGAAGATAAGTGTTTATCTTCATCACATTCATCAGGGGCTTTCCACTTTGGGTCAGCCTCTCTTTTCATGAACCGTGTCCCATCTTGGCCACCCTGTTAAAATGTCCTGGAATGCTCCCATTCACGTCTCCACAAAGGATGCTGAGCCACTCTTAATTGAAGCTAGAGGAGGGAGGTCTCTGCTTCATCCTCTGCTTTACATTCTATACTGGCATGGCCTACATACAAGTGTAAACACATACACTGCACACACACCATCAAAGTGAAACCCATTCAAACAAATTTCCATCATAAGAGTTTGGAGGTGGTCTCATCTTTAGATTTTGTGATACCTGCACATCTGCAGCTTCAGAGAGCAGAACCAGACTTCTTCATCAGCTTTTTGCAATCACTGGCTCTGAAGCTGCTGCTCCAGCTGATGACTGCAGATCAGATTGTACTCTCCACATGGACAGGCTACTCTGGTATCTGACATCCACATATCCAGCATGTTTTAGTTGTTTCCCTACTCCAACACGTTTGATCCACTTATCGAATTACCTGTTTAGCAGATCTTTAAGCTCTGCAGAAGTCTGTTAATCACTCGAATAAAAATCAGGTGTGTTGAAGCAGCTAAACCTCTAAAAGTCAGATACACAAACACATATTAGGCTCATAATAAAGCATCATTCATGTATGGGTCCAGGTACAGCGGAACCAGTGTGTTGGAGCAGGGAAAGAACCAAACCATGCTAGATAGTGACCCTCAAGGTCCAGAGTTGCCTACCCCTTTTTCAGACCTACTCTGATTGTCCCTGCGGGTTTGATCCAATCCCTGGTGCCTAACTGGCCAAATGCTGATGTAGCATTTAAAACAATTGTTTGTTTACAGCCTTTTAATTCTGTACCTTATAATTTTTCTGTTAGAAACATCACAAGCATTTAAATGTATTCAAATGTGTGACTTAAAAGCTGTTGAACAAGAATTAGAAAACATTAGACCTACAGTATATTCTCCTTTTTTCTGCTGTGTAGCACAAACCCTCTTTGTTTCCTGACATGAACTGCTCCAGGTCATGGCCTGGCTGAAGGTTATTTGTTTGAAGCTTTCCCACAGCCCCTAACTAAAGAACACAACACCACCCAGCCTTTGTGTCCCAGTACAGACTGAGACAAACCACCAACCTAGACCCTCACATTCCTTTGAGATTTGATCACGAACATTTTGCCAGGTGGTTTAAAGACAAATAATGGTTGTTTATAAGTTCATGCTTTATATCTTGTGTTCATTTAATATTCATGAAATAACTTTGTGTCTTCCACAGAAACACAGCGGCTCATTAATGATTAAATGCAAATTTTTTAAAACCCAGATTTAAAGTAGTTTTGCTTTTTTTGTGCTCTTTCGGCTTTGGTTCTTGTAAATAAAATGCATTTTCCTCATGAGAATTTATGTGTAATCATTATTTTAGGTAAGAGTTGTGTTTGAAATCTAACCAAGGAGATTCAGTATAGGCCAGTTTAAAGAAGGGGTCAGGATTTAGATTTTTGCCTCTGTTTATGTCTGAGTACATCACCACATCATTACTGTTTCAAATGAACACGTTTTGCTATGCTTGTCCTAACTCAGACATTTCTGACACCAGGAGACAGAACATGGCTGTGCTTAAACAGCTCACCTGAATCTCAGTTTGCCTGACTCAGTCGTTGAACATCATGGCGTCTTTCACTGGCTGTTAGATCCGGACCCATCAGATGTCCGCCACCATGTCCTCCAGATAAGAACAGAACTCAGCAGTCAGCTGGTTCCCTGCTGACCCATCTTCTGGGACTTCCACCTGATCGGACACATCACTACCCAAGCACTTTGCTAAATCTTATTGGAAAACCCCGACTTTGGCTACAGGATGTGGTCAGGTCTGATGGTTATCCCTTTTGAAATCTTTATTTACATGTGATATTTCCCCAAATTTACCCTCGTTCATTCGCTCTCATTTGCCTCCCTCACTGTTTAATCTTAATGTCTGTCTCTGTCTGACATTTAATCCTGAAGGTTTCCAGTTTCCACATAAACCTTTATATGATTTGTTACCAAAGATGTTGGCAACCCCCTTATCCAGCATGTTTTAGTTGTTTCCCTGCTGGTTTTATTCAGCAGGTGATTCACGGGCTTCTGAAGAGCTCCATGAGCAGCTGAAGATGCAATTCAACCACCTATTCAAGAGTGTTGGAGCAGAGAAACAATTAAAACTTTGTGCGCACTGACTCTCGGGGTTGGGGTTAATTTTCAGATCACAAATGTTTGATTTTATGAGATCAACCTTATCCTACTCATCGTTGACTCTGAAATTCATTCCCATGGTGACAGAGATTCTTCTGATGAAGAAACTGGTTAAATTCACAAGTTGAATATTTCCCCAAATATTGAAAAAGTGCCCATTTTAAAAGCATTTCATAACATATTCGTTATTAATCTTTACTAAATTGTTACCCCTGTAGTTAGAACAACTTCATCACAAGTGATGTCCTTTAAAAAAAAGGCAGAATGCAGTTCCTATTCCATTTATTGGGCATGGTTTATAAACAGACACACACATATATATTGAAAGTATAAAAAATACAAGATTACAGGATTTTCTAAACATTTTAGTGAGGTCTCTTCTTCTTTGTCTTTGACATGTAGTAACAAAAATGAAAAACGTATTTAATCGTACACAGAATAATGTTCACTTTCACAAGCCCATTCATCAAGCAGGTTACTATCATTAATGTCATGTTGAAATGAGATCAAAGCAGAGAAAACAGGAACACATGCAGCATCTGTACAACAAGTCCTCTCAGACAGACACATGGAACTCTGGGAAGCCGGCTTCAAACTTTCTCTTACCGTCATTCCACTTGAGAAGATTCAATATGACACCAGGATTTCTCAACTGGCTGACTGTCTTTACATCGTCCAAATATGTTCAGCCAAGTATCCTCAGTGGAATCACTTAAAACTAGAGGAAGATCAGCATTCCAAACATACAACGTATTCTGTCAAGGAAATGAAGCTTCAGGATGCTACAAACACAAAGAGATGGAATGTTTTAATAAAAGAATGAGGCAATAAGGCTAAACGTTCTAAACCCAGTAAGCAAGGAAGTGGCTTTGCTAGAACCGAAAAGAACATCATACATGTAATAAACCTAGTTCACCACAAATACACATCTAGGTTTGCATTTAAGCATTTTTGTGGCCTAACATTTAGCTACCATGCCAAACCTGGCTCACTTTGTTCTAAAGACAATAACGTCTATCATTTCTTCTGTAAATATCTCTTAAAAAACAAACAACTCATAATCTTTCATCTTAAATGGAGTTGCATTATTTGTTGGCATTCTGCCAAGTTTTTTTCATTATTATTCTTTATTTGTACTATATATCTTTGACTATTCACAGTGTTTAAATTGAACAGTACAGGCCAGCACCAACTGGCTTGTAACTGGCACCATGTTAATTTCCGTTCTGGAAGTTTTCAAGTCCAGCACTGCTCCAGTAGCTATGCAGAGCAGGAAAACCCAAAAATTAGAATTTTTTTTCAAAGTATTACTTAGACAGAAACACAGAAAAAAAATTCAGTAGAGTACACCGTCCTAAAAATAAACACGTGTGCCCATTTTCATAGATGTCTCAAGAAGCACAGTTTTATTTTCAGCCACCCATAATGAGAGTTGACACACCCACAGGAGATCTTTACATCTTATCTTAATTTCAACAGTTCCATTCTAGATGTGTTTAGATACATTTTATAATAATAATAATAATTATATATGTATATATATATATATATATATATATATATATATATATATATATATATATATTTATTTATTTATTTATTTATTTATTTATTTATTTATTTACTCCATCTGCAGGAATGCAGTCTTTAACTCTTCAAACAGCTTTGCATAGAAAGTATTTGCGCAGCTAAGAAAATATTGTTTCATATTTCCTGCATGATACACCGCTGAAGTCACATATGAAAATATTTGTGTTGCACTCACAGATGTGTAAAATTATGTCAGAGGTTGAGATCAAAAGAATATTCCGTACATGTTTACCTGACATAATAAAACACGAGAATGTCCATTTAGATGCTCCCCACCAAAGGGAATGTCTCATAAAAGTACTTAACTACAAAATGACTTGTGGTGGATTTAAAGTATTTAGGGTTAAAATAAATACCTAATATATTGTATTTCTTCTGCACCTGATAGGAAGTTGTTTGGTAAAGTATAATACTGACCAAGCAGACATGAATGTATATCATTTTGATAACAAAATACTTATCTACAAATGCTTGTAATTGATCAATATATAAATATGTGCAACAATATATATGCATTTCTATACATATATATTTGTAACAAAAGGTGCACTTAAATAATGTCATCAAGGAGATGTGGAGTGCCAACCCAGTCTAATGTCCTGGGCTCTGAGGCAGCCATAATCATGCACATAAACTGTTTACCAGTCCTTTTATCGATTGGATATATGGTTGTGGGCGTGAACCTTCTGTTATTCTCCACAAATTCACAGAGCTGCTGATACACCTGTGGGTATTCATGACGCAGAAATACCCCTCGTATTCTTAACTCTCTTTGAATATTGATGAAACAAATTTCCCTAGCCTTGCGACCTTCTTCCCCTTCTTTGTCGATGTCTGCTGTTCCTGGAGGTGGCGTCAGGATGAGTGTTTCCATATCACTTTCTTTTTTGTGAACTTTTGTTTCGGGGCTAAAGGAAGCCAGTGCGACCTTTGCATATTTTCTTACTGTTGGTGCTTGATTCCTTGGTGATGGCCCATCAGGCAGCTGCTCGCCCACAGCAATGGATACATTCAAGATGAAACATTCGTTTGGGTCATATTCTTTACCAGCTTCCTGTAGCTCCTTGCAGTACTCACCCAGATTATCCTTGAAACTTTCAAGCTCTCGCAGGGATAGATATGTGGGAGACATAGGTAAACTATCCAGACCGTACTGCAGGAAGTTACTGGATGATGCAGGATTTGGAAACCCAAGGAAAAGAACCCCCCTACCTCGAGAAAGGTAACCAACCTTGGCAATACGGGAAAAGGCTTTGTGGACTTCAACAGTTTCCCGGCAGTGCTTTATGATGTGGCGGCAAATGCTCCCAATTCTTCCATACAAGCAGCTTTCCTTGTGGATGTCCCAGTCCTCTCTGCGGCAGTTCCTGGAGCAGTAGTAGGTGTAACAACTGTGGCAGGATTTAAAATACAAACAAGCATTAAATAGGGTCTCTGTTCTTCGGCATTTGTTGTTAGAACACATCATTGTATCATCTTCATCTGGGCTCTGATCAGGAGAGCACTCTTCTGCAGTCTTCATGGCATCACTTGCTCCATCCAGGTCGCAAAAAGCATCAGGATTTATTTTGATTGACGTTGGCTGTTTGTCCAAGGGAGGTGGTTCTTCTGCACCTGCCTTTGAGCTTTTTCTGGACAGAGATACGGCTTCTTCTTCGTCAATTAACTTCTTTATTTGATCCAGAATGTCCTCACTTGCCCTTCTACTTGGCGGCTTGTAGTCAGTCACAAGATCTGCTAGAAGTTCATCAAGCTGCTCAAGGCTCTGCTGAAGTGAGGCATTGTCGTGTGTCTTCTCTTTGGCTGGACTTTCAAAATCGCGTAGAGACATTTCTGGATTTTCGGTGCTTCGAGAGTTAAGAATATCCCAACTTGCAGAACGTCCTTCAACCTTGTTAAGATTCCCTGGTCTAATGTCATTATCAGTGATCGTTATCTCAGGAGTGACAAACCAGAGTTTACTGGTAGTGCTTTTTGATGTTTCTGTTGGGCTTTTGTCTATGAGTGAGTTATCAGACACTGATAAGGCCGCATATCGTCTTGGGGAAGTAGAAAGGTTGACTACTACTGGTTGTAGCTTGTCACCAGTGGCTGTAGAGGGCTTTCTGGAGTCAAGAAGATCATCATAGCTCTGACCTCTTTGAACAGAGAAAGGCTGTTCTCTTTCTACACGTGAGTTGAGAATGTTGTCCCAAGACCTTGAGTAAGATTTGGAATCTGTGCCCATTCTTTGAGGTTCTACACATGGGGTGGCATACCATGGAGGGAGCACAGGCTCCTGCCGAACTCTGGTTGGAGTGACTTGAGAAGTATAAGATGTTGGATTGGTGGAATAACCAGATGCATCTGAGCCATACCAGTCATCTGTTTGTGGCTGAGTAGTTCTGGCATGTCTTCTGCCCTCAGTGTAATAAGCCCTTGCGGGAACGTGGTGTTCTGGTGGCACTGCATACATGTCACTTGAATAATAAAATCTTGGTGGTGCAGTTTGAATTTGATAAGATCTTGGATCGTCACCATAAAATATTCTTGTTGGGGGTGTTTTTATAATATACGGGCCTGGTTCACTTGCTGCATATTGTTTGGGGTACCCTGTCTGCACAGAGTATGAATAGGGCTCCATTTCGGGGTAATGTGGTCTTGAAGCTACAGCATGCACCAGTTGAGTCCTTGGATCTTGCACATATTGCACTTTTGGAGAATATGCTTGTCCTGGTGTGTAACGTTCATCATGAAAATAAGAGCTTGGTTGTGGAGGAACAGTAGTCACATATCTTCCTGGGTCACCTGCATAAAAGAACTTGGTTGGCACATTAGGACTGGAATGAGCTCGGCGTTCTCTACCATAGTAACCTGAAGAAGGCATTCTTTGTGAGGGATGCTCCATTTGTTGTAGGTAACTACTTGGCATGCTGCTGGAATATTGATAGGCCTGCCTGCTTTCTGCACCCATTGAGTCAGTGGGAGTTGGGGTCCTAGAGTAAGAGAAATGACGTGGCACAGTCAGACTCCTCCCCACACTGTGGTGCCTTTGCCAGGGAAAGTCCAGTGGAGCAGCAGTAGTCTGTTTCCGTCCTGAATGATGCAATCCATCAGGCTTAATGTCTACTCGACACCTAACATGAGGGCTAGTTGCTGGTTTATCCAGACCTCCATCTTCAAATTTATCAGAAGCATAGTGTGGTGAATATCTACTGCTGTCACCAGTTTGAGGTTGCAACTTAATGGGATGTACTTCATGCATATGAGTCCTTGTTGCTGCATAGGATGACTCCCTACGTGGTGATACTTGAGGTCTCCAACGAGAATCTCTTGGAGCTCTTTGGGACTCTCTGCCTTTCCTTCCTGAAGACGATGATTCTTCAAAAGACACAGGAGTGAGGCTGGTCTGGACCCGAGAGGCACTTTTTGACCTGGTCCTTCTTTTATGCTCTGGGGCAACTACTTCACTGGCCATTTCTGCAGCCAAGGATTGAGCAGTTAATCTGTTGCTGAAAATGTCTGGGGCAGAAAAGCGATATCTCTGCTGGCGTCCCAAGGCATTCCAGGCAACATCAGGGTTGGCTGCCTGTCTGTCAGCCTTCCTGTATGGGGACTCCATGAAGCTCTTGTTTGACGTGGGACTCTCCAATGATTGATAGTCAAAGTTTCGGCAGTGCCTCTTACTGACTTTGCTCTTCCTGTCCTCCAGTGTGCTGTATTTCACAAAATCACATTGTTTGGATGGCTGCAGAGACTTGCAGTGTGAAGATATGGGAATCACTTTTATATCTTGATGCACAGTTGATACCAGTATGTCAGGTGGGTCTGTGCGTGTCATCTTAAAGGGATTCCTTTATTTTTCTCCATCAAGTTGCTTTTGTGCTGATGTTGCCTGAAAAAACAAACAGAAAGTTTTAGTGAGTGAAAATTTATGGTCAAGATATTTCAACCACTTATAAAGTATGAAGACAATTTTTCTAAATGGATTTCTTGTGAGCAAGTTCCTTTGAACAAAATGTTGGAATCAAGATTTGACCAAACGTATTAAAATACTTAAACCTTGGGTACCTAATTTAAAAATTATAAATTAACTTTCAAAGACTGCTTACATTTGACTATTTGACCTATTTAAATTATATGAAGTAATATTTCATAATTTACATTTCCCTCAGCCTCTACAGCTAAACAATTTGCGAGGCTACAGCTTTGACCAATAGATTGGCATTGTTCAATAAAGGAAGCTGGCAATCATTAAGAATGTAGCCCAGTTTCCAGCAGGCTCCACGGGGTGGCACTCTGATGCACATTAGTCTAGCTTGAATGCTAACCCAACCTGCATTAAATTGATGTCAATCAGTAAACCTCAGGCTAACTGTGAAAGATGAGGGAGGGGAACAAAAAGAGATTTGTCCTTTGCGTATCGGAGCTAATTGATTAATGTAGCATTCAACCTTGCTCTGCATTGGTCTTTTGTTTTAACCAGTTGTGGAATTAGCAACAATCGCAAGTACCGGTTTCTTGCTGGTTTTTGATGTTTTAATGCTTGAACACTGCAGATTTTATTAAAACGATTTATCAGCAGGATAACCCAAATGAAGGCAGAGAAGATAACTGAGATGTCTAAGCAGGAAAATGTCAAGATTATCCAGCCATAGTGGTTCTCCTCTAACGCTTTGTGTTCTTGTGCATGGTGTGAGGTGTGGCTTTCATCTCTTTCCAAAAGGGGAAGCGGCCGCGGCAGCTTTAGCCATTCAAATTTCAAAATGTTCTCCACCGCTCCATGCTGATGTCATGCTACAACTCACAACTTTAACAAAGGGATCAAATAATCTAAAGCTATGACTTTGGAAGTAATAGCTCCTTGCTGGATTGTTGCAAACTAGTTTATTTATTTATTTTTTACTATATCTTCTACCAGTGGTAAGTTCTAACAATGTCACTCTACGTGTATTTTACTAAACCTGAGGCAAGCAAAAATAAGAGGCCACAGTCAGTCAAAACGACAAGCTCGATCTAGAAGATGTTATGCACAAATTTAATTCCACATCTTTCATTCCACAAGATACATGTAAATGTATGATCAACAGAGTTACTCTAAACAAAATAATAGTGAGACAATTAAGCCAGTTAGTGAGATTTTTAAGACGCTTCATTACTTAAAAAGCAAGTCATCCTCCAAATCAACTTTCTTTTGCTGATAAACTATATAAACGAGTGTCTAACTGTGCTGAAGATACTTGTAGTCAAGAATTTGGCACTTTAGTACATCTTAGTTCAAATTTAAATATTCTGCATAAAACTGACAGTGTTGCGCTGTCTTCAGGCAAAAACTATGCACTACATTTGAATTTAAATCTGTCATCGCTATTGGCTAAGAGGTACACTATGACATTAGCTAGTACATTATGATGTCACAAATGTTGTTGTGAGTCTCTGTGTGTATTTGTTAGCAGCTCTGCCCTCTCAGTCTGCCAAGCAAAAGCATTTGTTGCATTTTTCAAACATAAAGTGGGAGTGGAGTAAGACTGGCAGGTGAAAAAAGAGCAAGTCACTCCTTACCAGAGTCTTACTTCACTCCCACTTCCTGCAGCAGGCACTAACTCCTTTGCCACCATAATCCGGATGTATCAGCAACGACAGCATCCTGTCACGTTCTGCCCCTGCCTTCCTGACTGTGTCTCTCTCCTGCCCTGATTAGCCCTTATTGTTCTCACCTGCCCCTTGTTAACCTGCCCATGTGTTCCTGATTTCCCTGTGTATTTATACCTCCCTCCTTGTGCCAGTCTTTGTCAGATCATTGTTGTTTCAAGTCATCGTTGTGTTTGTTCCTGCCGTTCCCGTTCTGTAATTAAATTCATATTTTACTTTATCCGTGCCTACATTCCTGCCTCCTGGAACTCTCCACCACACATGGTCCATCATCTCCACCATCACATCATGACAGAATGATCTGACCAACCTGGACCTGTGGTGAGCTCTGCAACATCTGTTCTGGAGGGTTATTTTTTTCTTTTTTCTCCGTTTAGCAGAGGGAGATTCTGACTCGAGTTTTTGGCGCATCCTACTCGTTCCCGGGGTGGTCGAACCCCTTCTCCTCTCCTGCTTTCTGCCCCGTCCTGTTTTTTCCGATGGAAGCCGAGGACCCTGGAGTTTTGATGGAGGTAAAACCCCCTACGCACGCCAACATTCTCCGGGGTGGTAGGGCTGGTCTTCCTGCTCCATGTTCTGCTTCCCTTCACCCAAGCCTCCGCCTGTTGGATCCAGTCAAGTCACGGTGTGCACCTGCTCAGGACTGTTGCCGAGTGCCTGCTACCGCTCCTGGTTTCCTCACGTCGCTCCTGCTGTTTCGTCCCACTTCCTGGTCCACGCCTGCAGGGTCTATGCCTGCAGGTCCTTCATGCTGCAGTTCCTGCTGGGTCCTATGCCTGCTGCTGCAGTTCCTGCTGGGTCCCACGTCTGCTGCTGCAGTTTGTTTCCTGTCCAGTCAAGTGCTCGTGTTCCTGGTCATGTGCTCATGTTCCTGGTCAAGTGTTCGAGTCCGTGTCAAGTCTTCCCGGTCCTGTCCCAAGGCAAGTCAAGTGTTCCCAGTCTCCTGTGTTGTGTGGCCTTGTGGGCGTCTGGTATCCGCCCCTTTGGGGGGGGGGGGGGGGGTACTGTCACGATCTGCCCCTTCCTCCTGACTGTGTTCCTCTCCTGCCCTGATTAGCCCTTATTGTTCTCACCTGCCCCTTGTTAGCCTGCCCATGTGTTCCTGATTTCCCTGTGTATTTATACCTCCCTCCTTGTGCCAGTCTTTGTCAGATCATTGTTGTTTCAAGTCATCGTTGTGTTTGTTCCTGCCGTTCCCGTTCTGTAATTAAATTCATCTTTTACTTTATCCGTGCCAGCATTCCTGCCTCCTGGAACTCTCCACCACACATGGTCCATCATCTCCACCATCACATCATGACACATCCAGGGTAAAAGCTTGGGAAGCTCAGTTCCAAAGGATAACAGAGTGGACTCTTTAGAAAATCAAAGTCTAATTCCAAAACCTGAGAATCACTGGCCTGATGGAAGATACAGGTGGCAAAACGCTGGCTGCCTTTTCAAAAAGTGGATACGAGTATAGTTTTGAACCTTTTATGTGTGTATATTAGGGTATAAACCACATCGTGTAGGCCCTCTAACAAGGTTGGATTATCCAATGGGCATTATGGACATGGGCCCAGGGGCCTACGCCCACTGGGGGCCCATGTGAACAGCCCAAGGAAGGGGAAAAAAAGAAGCCTAACAGAGAAACATCAGGGAGACATTCCTCATACAGTAACTGACTCAGCTATCGAGCCCAACACACACACACACACACACACACACACACACACACACACACACACACACACACACACACACACACACACACACACACACACACACACCACTGAAATGATCAATTAACAGACTTTATTTTAGATGTGGAGTTACTCCACCTTCTTTTCCAAGTCTGTGCACCTCTCTCACGTCTATTCAGCATATTCTCAAGTATGGAGAGCGCTGATTATTCAGTCACTCCAGATGCTTCTTGCTGACCTGCGCAAAGCCACAGTAACATTCTCAATGTGTCACCAGCAAAAGAAAATAACTAACATGCAATTGTTCATTTCTGATCATATTTTCTGTCTTTTATTTGTGTCAGACGGGAAGGTTGTTATTTTAGCGTCCAGAATCAGCAGAGGACATCTCTTTCAGCAGAAGCTAACTGCTAACATTAGCAACTCAAACATATGACAGAAGCTCTTCCAGCTTATTTGTGGAGATAAAACATCCACGTCCCCGAGCAAACAGTCAGTGGGAGAGTCGCGTTGCTTTTATCCAATCTGGGGCAAGATGTCTAAATATCTGAAAATCAGACTCCAAATTCTCCCGTTCGAAGCACAGCTCTGATATTGCAGACTGATCCTGCTGGGCCTGGTGTTTGTGGGCCTTTTTGTGCCCTGAGTTCTGTCTCCAAGGTATTCATTCCTACTAGAGACCACTGCAAATGTATTCATTAAACGAGTAATCCACACCTTTAAAATGTTTTTTTGTTTCTAGAAGGTCAGGTAATATTCAGACCATGCCCTGGAAAAATCTAGTATACAACTAAATCAGTAAAAAATCCCACTGACATAACTAGACTGATGCTACAACATGTAAACAGAAGACAGAGATTATTGTAACTTGTATGATTCATAGATTAATACAAAGAAACTCAGGACAGGTAACTTTGGATCAGTTACATTTCCATAATTATCATTTGGAGTTTTCCTCTATTTTAATGATAACTGCAAATTCATTCAGTTTTAGTCCCAAAAGTGTCCCCGCAGCCTCTGCAGAAAAGTCCTAAATCATTTTTTCTCAACTCAGACTCACAGCCAGAGATTTTATTTCTTCAATGAGGAGTCTTTATTTTACAATGAAACTATCCAGGAATGCAAGATGGTTTGCTAGAAACGTATGGGCAGTTTTCCTCAGAAACCATTTGGCACTTTCATACCCAAACCAGCTGGCTTTGGCTGCTAAACTGTTTATTCTGACACATTTAGTTGTGATGCCCGACAGACAGAGCTTCAGCTTGATTTGGTTTTTCTTCTTAATCTACCTCTTTGTTTCAGTCCATTCAGCAGAAAGTGAGACAACTGACTCCTGAGTGGTTATGTCTCCAGTATTTTCAACATTATAGATGCTTTTGCCTGCGTGTGTTCTCATGAACAACTGAAGAGATTTTAACTAATTTACTGCTTAAGTCATCATTTTAAATCCAGCCGCTCGCTGCCATTGCATTTTTAAAAGAGCGGGCATAGGAACGAGCCCCCCGAACTGTGAGAATAAAAATCATGTCTCTAAAGCTGATCTTCTTCCCCTTTGTCACAC